TATTTTAATAGAACAGAACGCAAAACCTATACCAGAGTTGCCTCGATCTCCCAGTTCTATTTTGACCAAGTAAACGGGACCCCAGCCCTAAGCGTTGGCCCACTACCAGAAAAGAATGCCTTTAATGTTCAGACACAAAAAAATCTGGTTCACAACTTATACTGGTATACTTATACTATAAATATTATGTATAAAATTTCCCAGGGAAGAGGCTCCTAACCCACTTAAATCAGTTTTAGACCTGTAAATCGAAATATTCTTATTAGTAGTCATCTCACGTACGAGAGCTTGAAAAAGTCATTGTATGCAATTTAACTTTTAAGTCCCAGAAATAATGACACACATACCTGGTAACGAACAATTCATGATTTGGATGTGATATCCAGTAAATGCTGTAAATAAACCATTTAGAATTTCTGCCCCTTTTAAACTACATCTTTTAATTGGTGTCAATACACAATTCAAAAACGTTTCAAATGACCTACAATATTAGAGAAATTATTATTTGGATATACATGTATTATATATATTTACTTATAATATTTTGTGAATTTGAGCCCCCACTCCCTTGAAGCCAAGTTAAGTGTTTATCTTTGCTATTTAGCACTTGAACATAAGTCAAGGGGTCAGCTATAATGTCTCTGTCTAAAGATGGAATAAACATATTTATTTGAAAAGCCTACCTGCATGATGCCGCATTATGGAAGTACTGTGTGCAATTTTTAAAGTTTTCAAAAGTGTCTTTTGTTAGATAACAATGAGACGCCGATTTGTACTCTGAAATTTGACATAAGATAATACAATATGCTCAGAGAAAATGAATTTAGTCACCATTAAAGAGTGTTCTCGAAGTTTAATATTGGTGTATTGATTAACCAGATAGAAGTTATGAAGAAAAGTCGCAGCCCAAAATTCTCAATCTTTTAACTTGGTATAAAACACAGAATTTGATTTACCTTCTAAACGATTGCAGATAAACTTTGCCGAATCAATTACAGGAACCCATCCAACTTTGTCGGTAATTGAACACCCACCAAGAGTATCTTTCAAACATACTTCCAGATCACCAATGATACTAAAGACAATAGACAATGCCATGATAATTGAACCATTTATCTATGACAAAGGCATTTCGCATAATCCAACAGTCATAATTTCAAAGGATAATGATGAATCCTGGTGAAATTTTTAATTATTTGTTAAACACAAGGTTGAACCCTTAACCAAATAGAACAAATCTAAAATACGAAACAGGTTAATTTTTTAAAGAAGAAATAAGAACTCGCAGATGGACCTTTGTTCTTCGATACGTGTTCGATTTTTCACAAGAAATGAGGTCCTGCCATCATAACGAATATGCGACTTTAAGCAAAGCTGTCAGTTTCTTTACTTTCTTCCTGATAATTTGGATGTTGGCTATATGAATGGAGAAAAAATGGATTTTCAACCAATTGTGTAGAGGAGGTTGAAAATCCAAGTCCCACTTGTCTATTTGAGTTGAAATAAAAACAGTTCCAACCCACCTGCATAAATTATCAGCATCTTCTAACTGCATTATCCCAAGTGGGTTCATGGATAGGAGATCATATCCTGTACATTTAAGCGCTTTCATAACATCACATGTTCCTTCCACAGATTTTAAAGCATCTGAAAGATACACAAGGATTTGATCAGTTTGGCTCTTCAACAATCTGATCGATCTCTGCAGGCACACAATAATAAAAGGTCACCCAAAATCATAGCGTTCATTTCCATGCTGTTGTATTGAATTAGCCAAGTGTTGGAAACGTTCGCCAATCAATAGTTAAAGAAATAAAATTATTAGAGTTTTACGTCCTACTTTTCTAATGAAGACTGGCAACGCCATATAGGGTGCAATGAGGGAAATTTTGCCAGGACAGCGTCATTAGCCTGCTCTTTGTCGAAGGATCTTTAACGTGCATAGCCTGTCCCATCCAAATGACTAGACGCTTTTTCCATGTCAGCCCTCTTACCTGCATTACTGGTAGGGTATTATCTAGACCTATGTCGTGATTGAACCCTTGACCAACAGGTTAACAAGCAAGCGTCTAACTCACTGAGCCACCGCGGCTCAGAAATGAAAAAGAAATGAAAGTTGAAACTAGCGGAAATTCTCCATAAAATAATTAAATCAATACATTGAAGGAAGGTCGCATTAAAAACTTGTTTCGTGGACCCGGCAGGCGGCAGAGAGCACCAGCTGCGCAACTTTGGCCTTGTTTTCATGGAAAACAAAAAATATGACTGTACATCTATGAGTACTAAACATTCAGTCTTGTGAGGTGAAACAAGAAGAGATGACATGTATTAATTAATTTCTACATTTGTATTGCAAATTAGGTCAAATATACCTTGTGTTGTTGCTGTGTAAATATATATAATATATATATCATATATGTCAATAATCTCTTGATCTTTTTAATGGAGGCTCAATTCAAATTATATGTAATCATGCTTAAAGCAGGAGAATGCAAAAATTTCATCATCAAAAACGTTGTAAATTATAGATGAAAATATTTCTAAAATATGCTATTTACTTCTGTGTATAAACTTGTTTTAAAAGGGTTAATTAATTGTTAATTAAGCAGTTTGATCTAGTTTTGGTGTTTGACTATATGGAATGGCTCGACATGTTTTAGTTGAAAAGGTAGGGGATATATTTCTCTACAATTTGGCGTTTATTTTGCTAGAATTGGTACATTATCCAACACAAAAAAAAAAAATAAAAATAAAAATATAAAAAACTAAAAAACATAGCATCTCCGAAGTGTTTATGTAAACCTTTTAAATAGTTTAAGCGTTCTAAGACTAATGGCAAGAAACTTAAGTTAAAACTTTCAGATTAGTTAATAGATATATTTATTGTTTTTTGTGTGTAGTCTTCATAAAGTTGACAAACAAATTTGTCCAATCTGAGAAAAATCATAAGGTTTTTAAGATTTTTGCTTCAATAGATGTTTCAATTCTTGAGTCCAATATGGAGGTCACTCGAACAACAATAATCGGTCAAGTATTTTAACGTATACTATAATTTAATTTAAACTATATTTAGGGGTGAGGTGGAGATATATATTTCAGGCAATATTTGGATATTGAACTTTGACTATGACCACACTGGTTTGGGAAATGTTTTAAATAAGGAACGATCTATCGAAATCATAAGTAGATTGTAAAATTACAACCTATGCTTTTCTTTCTTATGGATGTTTGTTGGTCATGGCTACATGGAAACAGCTATTTATGTAGATTCTCTCGATATTTATAGATACAAATATAAACAGATAAGCCTGATTCGTAATTTACTTCCCATTTTTTTTTAAACAAATGAAAGAAAGAATGAAATAAAACTTACGAGATAAAAACACCAAAACTAAAAATAATCTCATATTTAACTTGAACGTCTAACCCATTATATTTCTATATTCAATTATTTACAAATATCTTAAAGATTCAACCCACAGCCCATCATCCTTGAAATAACGGATTTCAGTGTCAAAGTTTAGATGTTGTTAAAGATAGATTAAAATATTCCGGTTAAGTATATTTCCTTTTCGTTATATCATCAAGACGGTTGGTTAGTTTTGTCCCGCGCTCTATCAACAGATGATTAGATTAGAAGATGCCCTTTCGTTCGACTGTGACAACGGAAACTGATAAGATGCCACAGTATCGTAAGAAAATAGCTATAGCTATTCCAAAAATAGGTCTTGACATTTTGGCTTTCTTTTCAAATGCGTTGTCCCATTTAATGCTTTTTTTTTTAACCGGACCGAATCGACAACATAAGATTGAGTTCTTTTCATTTGGACTTTTTTAAAACGCTTATCTTTCCCTCCAGAATAGCTTGTCAACACGAATCTCTGCTAAAAAGAGTCAGTGGGCCTTGGGCAAATCTTCCTCACATTTGTCACGACAAAAGGCTCACTGTGTTTACAACAACAATACATTCTTCTTCAAGGCATAAACATTGTACATGTCCATCCTTCCAGAATATTGGTTGAAAAATACACAGAACTGCTCCGAATAAAATAGTATTTCATACGAAAGGGCATCATATTTTTAGAATTATATTCACAGCAGATATGATTCAAATCAATTTTAGCCGATTTGTGTTTGTTTAACGTTCACAAAAATATGAATAGTCAAAATGTTGAGAGCAAGCACCTTGTAATATTCTTCCACTGGGTTCAAGGAACGGCTATTCAGTTAAGGTAGGTTCCTTCCTGGTATGTTAATCTTGCTTTTAACAAATATAAATCTTCGTCAGAATGGGATGAACGGAATTTTTAATCGGACTCAAATATATAATACACACTACAAGCCAGGATCCAAGAAGTCAATAAATAGAAATACTGTCAATTAAACCCAATTGTGCAATTAGAGATGAATAATAATATTCTATAAAAATGTATCATCGATTATAAGTCTAAATAGAAATTGTTTCACAAAAGAAGGCATCGGCCCTTTTTTGCAATGAACATACAAACCAAAAAGAGTCTCACAAAACGTGTAATACATCCACAACCCCAAGCAGTCAGCACATCCATAATATACAACATTAACCTTGGTACCACTTTCATAAAGTTCAAAATCTTCGTCTTATACTATGACTGCAATAACCACCTATCATGTGTCACGATCATCACAAAATTCGATAGGCATTAACCTTGCATTGATACAAACCCAAAACATAAAAAACGTCAATTGAATGAGTAAATTGGGCTGACGGGCGAACAGGGGCAAAGTTTAACGACATTATGCATCCAAACTTAAAGTGGGCGTATAAAGTTGAATAGAATTCATCAAAAGGTTTTTTTTTGTACGATCATTGCTCCGAATAGTAGAACTTTGTCCGTCATTAATTCGTCTCTTGAGATGACCAAGCCTTCATCCAGTGTGTCATTAATAACAGAATGAGATACTATGACTCGAAATAGTTATTTATTCGCGCCTCTAGGTAACTGAATTGGGTAAAAATAACATTTTTCAAGTCTGCTCTAGCCTCAAATTTTCAGAACCCTGGCAAAAACGAAGTCATAAGGGGTTATGATTTACAAACAACTCGTGTCTTTTGCTGAAAAGATGTTTAATAACAGACGTCTGATTGAATATTGAAATGTTGCAAATTAATACTATCAGTGTCCCCGAAAGACATAGCAAATTTAGAAAACCTCTATACAATTCCTTTAAGATATTTCATTGAATCTTCATTGGCTAGTCTTACGAATTGAAATTCCCTTTCGAAGTTTCCAAATTAATATGGAGATCAGTCCATGGCAAGATTAAATGGATCCAAATAACACAAGGCAACTTGGTTATAATGTTTTACATGACACTGGATGGAGAAACTTTGAAAAACATACTTTTCGTATGGTATATCTAGTACATTTGTTTGATAAATTCAAACTGTAATGTTGACGCTACAATATACTACACATTACTTTTCTTTCTCCTCATAAATATAGACCGCGTTGGGCCTAGATTTTTGAATTTTTTTATACGTGTATAACATTTTATTTGTCTCGTAAATGATGTTTTGTCGTTATTATATCCAACAGAACAGACATACAAAAACCTGAAATTATAAAAAAGCAAAAAAAATATTTTGAGGCGAAAATGAGTTTTTCGCACTGTTTTGGCGAAAGAAATGAAAATGAGTAGGAATTGAATTATTCTCGTTGTTGGTTGAAATTGACATGTAGTGTCATGCAGTGAGCAATGTGAGAGACTTTTCTGTTCTTTTGGTCGGTCTGTACAATTAAAGGGAGGTAACTTGAAACAATAGTCAATTTGAGCAGCGGCCTTTTATTACAAAATCTGGCATTTGAAAAGTCGGTATATAGTCACTACATTACTAAATCAAAAAGACGGTCAACTCTTTTGGACGCTGCTGAATTGTTTGTCTTGCAAGTTAGCATAAGGCCAAGCGGTAGAATGTATTGCACATACTGTAATTGCATTAAAGCTTTAACCTCTTCAATGCGATTTATTTACTGGACCAAGAAACCATGCATGTGCACTTGTTCCTTAAGAAACAATAGTCACCCTTACAGATTGTGCAGTTCAGATCACCTACCAAAAGAAGTAAGGCCACTAGTTAGCAAGAATATATCAGCCCAACCCGAAACTGGTTCCAACCATGTCACTAATAATGAGGTTCCCACACTTGATACAGCCTGTAATACAGACAAAACATTGAAAAATGTAACTATTATCCATTATAATAATATAGCTCTTGAAGGAGTTGCTAGTGATTTTTTTTATATACATGTATGTAAAATAGCAATAGCCTAACGCCAGCATCGTTTTATAGAACATGGCAAATACTGGGTTAATGTTGCGGTGAAGATGCATTTCCAATTGAAAATTCCTACAAACAGTATTAAACATTAGTATGAGAGCAAGCTGATGACTGTTAAAATGAAAAGAATTTGTCAGATCGTAGACAGCTTTGGTTTGATTTGTAATCATCTACAATCCTGAGCTAAAAGCTGGTATAGTTATAATATTTCTGTATCACTTTTAGCATCTTGCAACTTTAAAGTACATTATTGATCTTCATCTGAATATAAAATGAGACGCAAACCACTTGCTAAAACACTGTGATAGATTTGAATCTTGAATAGATGTAAATAGTCTTCAAAAGTAATAAAAATGTATGAAAATATCATAATTCCTCCAAAAATACTTCAAATTAGGAATTTATTTCCCTATTTCTATAGATGTCTTTTCTATATTTGCTTTCATACGCGGATAATTCTGGACATACATGGATTAGAAGGCTCAAATTTCGACGAGCTGTAACACTATTACTGATTGGCTTAATCTGAGAAATGGGGCTTTTTTTTTTAGCTAAGGTCAACTTGGTCAAACAAATGGTGAACCTATCCCATTAATCACTATCTGGTACAAAATCATAATCCTTTATGGCAAATATTAAAAGATAGACTAGGGAAACTATCGATTACCAACCCCTGAACTTCTAACTGCGTTGTAAATTGTTAGATAATTTTTCGCTCCATACAGTTTCAGTACAATAACAGGCAATATTGAAAATATTCCAGAAAAGGAAAAATACACTAAGCATATCCATATAAGGAATATATACTTTCCACCGTATTCTGACATCATAACTAAAGTTGATATAAAAACACTAAAAGATGCTGTTATGAGACACATTGTTAACTGAAATATATGATAATGAACTAATTACATTACCAAATTCTATTATTATTGTCCTTGTACCAGTGCATTTCTAACATTTATTTGATTGCTCGGTGTAGGTGTGCCCATTGACTTTTATAATATTTGATTATACAAAGAAAAAGACAGTATTCCATCAATAGAAGCCACCGACAAAACCGCTCTAATCATTGCCGAAATAGAATCTACAGGAACTATTACCAGCATACGAAACTACCTTCTAACATGAAAATAACACGAATGTAGTTCACTGGATTTTTAAAATTCAAGAGACTTTAATATTTCAAAAATGCCTTCAAATCACATTAAAAGCCATTTTTAAACCTTGAAATATTGCTTTGTTGAAATATTAAAGCCTTTTCAAAATTCGACTTATCAAGTAGAGGAAGTCATTCAAAAGCAACTACGTTCGTATGTTTCCATGTAAGAACCATACGTAGTTTCGTATGCTGTTAACCAAAAGCTACCAAATTTCAAACACACCTTATGTCCTAGTTTATCTCCCAAGGACCCCCAAAATAATCTTCCACCTGCATTAAATATGGCACTTAATGATCCCACCATTGCTAAAAAATGATCATCTCTGATAAAGGTCTGTCCGTATGTCTGGAAAGAGTAAAGCCGTGTACTTTGTATAAGAAAGCGGTTTTGGATACAAAGAAATTAGATAATAATTAGATGAGCCTTTTCACTATGTAACACTATTCTGTGTGATGGTGTGGGGAACTTACAGACACTTAATAAGAGTATCACGTGTACATCACCTTGACAAAGTTAAGATGTTACAAAATGCGTCTAAAAGTTTGGCAACCCAGACACTTTTGTGAAGTTAGCTAAGGCAGCCATATCCCTCGAGAGAAAGTGTCTGAACTTTATTGCTACCAACGAGTTTCAAGGGCTCTGATTGGCTGTATGTGCTTTCATCTGTGGGAAATATTTAAGGTTTACCTCGATTCCACAATAACTGACCTTATAACACAAAGCAATGATAGCTACACTAAGTTCAAAAGGCAGCATCATACACCATAATATATAAAAACCACTAGATGTAAAAGCTTCTTTGATGGCATAATCTCTAAATAAACACAATTTATTTATTGGATAAATTGAATGGTGACGTATAGTCTACAAAGAGAGGTTATCAGTGACTAGAATATGGGATTGTGAAAGCAACGGTAAGTGATAAATTTCGTACATAGTTGCTAATGGAACATGACACCGATTTTTAGAATCACTAGCATCAGAGTATTTCTAATCTTGAGGAGTATTCGACCTCCAGCACCTCATAGCTAAGCAGACGAAAATCCAACTCGCAACTGACTGAGCTATTCCCCTGCCACAATCATACCATTTATCTACCGAAAATCACTATTAATTGAGTGTTTTATTGTTTGGTATTTTCTTTACCTTGGAGCTGCCCTTCCAATTTCTTCAGTATTGTTCTTATTCACAGAGCTGTCCGAGTTACCATCATCGTCATTGTCGATTACAACTTCGGCGTTGATAGAGCCATAACGAGACACATCTTCATCTGTGTTAATGATAACGTCTTGCTTTGATTTCTGGATTTCAGAAAGATACATTCAAGTTATAAGGATTAAGGAATATAGGTATATTTTGATTTTTTTGTTCACTGTAACACGTGACTACCATGCCATGTATCGAAAAGTTAAATAGTTTGTGAAGTGATTCAAGAGGATTGCACCATTTCTTCAAACTTGATCAAATATAAGGTAACATGCACACACTGGTAGCTTTATCTAAATTTCTTCTAGAGCCACAGCTTCGAATATGTTTACCATTCCTTGAATCCATGTTGAAATATAAGGGCCATAGCTCTGAATAAATATATTTTTTACTTTTTAATAGAATTAATTTCAATATGGTTAATCCACGAGTAGTAATAAATATAATTTTTCATCACTTTTTGTCAAAATCTGTTAAGAATTATGCATTTGATTGTGAAGGAGGAACGAGCAGCAGTGACAAAACCAACTTTACATTTCAATTGTATAATTGTTGTAAATGTCAATGACATTTAAATAGGTTTTGTTACCTTTTTATACTGTTTAGAATCAGAGATCAATAAAATACCAATAACTTGCAGACCTACTAGAACAGCTCCTAGTATCAAAAAACTTTCTGGTACTTTATCCAACACAGATTTTTGGGAGAAAAACCTAAGAAAAAAATATGCAAAGAAATAGTGCAACGGGTTATTGTCTTACTACTCATTTGATTGGAACAGTTCATAAATCTATGCTTTTGATTAACATAGCATTACATAGTATCACCACCAGGTACATATATTTTAGATACTGTTAATTGAGATGGTTACGAATTGTGTAATACTTGAAAAATTGTTATTCCAATCGCACAGAGGGTATCACAAAGTAGGGTCATGACATTTATACCAAGAGAAACGCGAACATATTTTACAAGTCATCCATCTTTAAATAATAGGTTCAGCGAGAAGGCACTTGACTCTGATTTATATATAGTTTAAATTGTATTATCTAGAACAGGGCTTCTCAATCTTATTAACCCTGTTCACCCCACCTCTGCACTACCAGAAGCCACTAACCCCTTTCAATAATAAAGTAAAGAATTGTATTCACATTTATTACAGAAAAACAAATTAATGCAATACGCCGACAAAGCATCACCCAGTATAGCAGAATGATATGATAATCAATAATTCGGACATTTCTGTAGAAACTTCCACATGATGTGCTCAGATTTCATACAACACCCAATCATAATCATAATCATAATCAATGGTTGATGGTGAACCCTTTTCTGTCCATTTACCCCCAGTTTCTTTATTCACCCCTCGGACTTTTTTCATCCTCGTCAGTCTTATTCACCCCTGGGAGTGAATCTCAGCCCCGGTTGAGAAGCACTCAACTATAAGATTCAAATATCTGACAAACAACCCCAATTGTGCACCCTAATTATGTCGCGAGCTAACGCAAATTTAGATGAGCAGTAAGGCTTATCTCAGTGACCTCTAAATTAAAGACTGTTCACGACGACTTACTTGCTATTGCCTACCTGTATGTCTGGGGTAAGGTTGTTTGGATTAATTATGAGAGTTATTACCCAGTTGAATATAAATGAACTCAGACCATATCCAGCCAACACAAGACCACTGATTAACCCACTTCTTTCTGGAAACCACTAAAATTCAATCGAAAACATTTCAAGTAAGCTATGTGCCAGATAGGCCATAGCAATTGATCGTATTGAATCCTCATATTTACCACGCTCATTCATCCAATTCCATTTATTTACAATACGGAGAACATCTAGATATTATCTTTTTTAATTTTATTTTAAAAGCACCAAGAAATTTCGAAATAAGATCATGCACAACCCCTATATCGTTTACTGTCATAGTCAAAAGACCCCAAAACCAAACCAATATAACAAAACATAATATCTCACTTCCATTGCACACTTTAGTGCTGCAGGGTACGCAACAATTTTACCAATTCCAGTACAAATTCCAAACGTTACAATCATGGTTGCCAGAGAATATTGTACAGTGTAGTACGTACTCAATATACCACCACTTGGAATAGAAAGGGTCATATTACTGGTACGAAAGACATAAGATATAAGAAATGCAATTTGTTTGTTAATTAAATGACATAATATATTACAGCTAAGGTTTAATACTAATTTATTGTTGCTTCACTATATGTGTGTGGGTGGGAGGGTGAGGGTGTGCGTGTGTGTAGAGGGAGGGAACCACTGACTAGTCTATCACAGATAGATAAATCTCAACAAATTCATACATTTACCAGACTCACCTATATACAAAACACGACAGTATCAATAATGCTCTATAATTTAAAACTCTTTCAAGTAGACCAAACAATGGTCCTGTTAGACAAGCAACTCCTGTTCCCGCCATAGCTACCCATGACGTGGCGCCGTATGATAGATGCTGCTCATCTGAGGTATCGTTACGCAAGTATGATGTAAAATATGGTGTATAATTACCTAAAAAGAAGATTAAATGACGTAAACTATTAGTATATTATTATATTACAAGCTCTTTGAAATCACGTGGTTAGTTAGGCGCAAGTCATTTAGGCACAGTGTTATCAATGCACTTTCTCAGATCCTAGTTCAGAATAGGCCATGTTATCAATATGCGTTCAGACTCAACATTGTCTAATGTAAGGTTCAAAGGGCTTGAGAACGCGTTCAGGTGAATTCTACTAATTTATCAGAATGTAATGTTTAACATTACAGGCTTGGTAGTCTTCAACATTATTCAGTGTACCAGAGGGTAAAAACACCACTTATGTAAAAAATAGCCACTCACCAAAGATATATAGAGTACCAAGAGAGAGTTCTATTAACATGGCTCCTGCCACAGATAAAATACCTCGATTAACATATTTTCTCTCCATTATCTAGTTTAATACAACAACATCTAAAATATTACAATTAACAACATACACAAATAAATATACTAAATAAATAATATTAGATATGTGGGCTCTCTGGAGAGTTGCAGAGAGACATTTATATGTTCTGGACGAGTGAGCCCCATCTGCAACAGTACTTATATTTTACTGGAGCTTTTATATAACCTTCGGTTACAAGTTATCTCGGGAACCGTCTACTAGCAGAGTTATTGGCCAATTGACGTGTAATAAATAAACCAAATAAACAATAATTCACTTCCTAAGTATATTAATGGATCTATAAAAGATATATAATTTTTGATAAAAATCGTCCTTAATATGACAAACTCTAGCTCTTGACGGTCTGATTTGCACATTAATATGTTCAAATTGAAATTGCCAATAGCGTCTTCTTTCCAATGACAAACGATGTTCACAATTCTTTTAAGGAATGTGTAATTGAATAATTGAATTGAAATCATGTTATTTCTTACCATAATTATTGCTTATTTAAACATTCACTTGTTAACATAATTTTGTTATGCCGTGGGTTTGCATGGATATTGTTGATATACACATAAAACTGAATATCATATTTATTATCACAAAACTCAGGTATAGAAAAGTCACGAGAATGATAACAGATACTTCACGTGGTTTGATGTTTCACCTATCTATAGAATTTAATTGTTTAAACAAAACACGAATAATAAAGATACACGAGACATATGTAAAGCCGTAGAACACTATAAGCTAGATCTTGTTGTCAATGAGCACCAGGTCAGTTTCTTACATGGATTACCTGGACAGAATACAATGTAAAGAGGAGCGACTCGAGTGGTGTGCCTTAAGGGACGCCGTATTCGAAAAGACTGACTGAAAGAACGATGCCTGTTCTGGGGAGGTTTCTTGATTGACTGGACTATGATAAGAAAGGTGCGATCAACTCAACACAAAAAGAAATATTAGGTCCAGTGATTGTAGACAGTTCACCTTTAAGCTATTAAGCTTATCTGTAACAAAATACAATCGTATGATAGATAAAATACAAAATAATGACTGTTGTTTGGGCAGCTAATATGTAGTAATCAACTTAGAGGTACCTTATGAGAGCAGTATCGAAACAGATAAGGTAGGATTAAGAGTTATTACTGATAAATCAACGCTATTCGAGATCATTCGAGAACCTAAAACATTGAACATGATCGAACTTGTTATGCATGTATATATTTAATGAGATTTCGGTCTAGTTTGACATTAGATAAAAGCTGTAGCTGTTTTGGTGTCTTTAAGGCAAAGTAAATGCATTTTTACAATTGTTATGCAATATTTGTAGTATGATTTTGATGGCAATAATTGGATGAATGGTTTTTTTGGGGTAATTACCTCTTAATAGCAGACACGCTTCCAATTTTATTACTTGAGGAATACTTGTACTCAAGAATGTAGTTAGGTTTGAAATTCGCAATAATATGGTGAACTTTGAGACTTCAGACCAGTATCAATAGTGCGACAACGAATATAATTATTGATTAGTTAAGAGAATTTCATATAACTTGTATGTAGTTATAAAGAAAGCTTGTCACGCAAGGTAACATACGTCCACTTGCAGCTGTCAGAAATGAGTCTTTAAGTGATTAAAATACGTATTTCCTCATATTAAAAATCTTCGAAATGAATTTGTAGTTATCAAATTTACTCATAAACAAGATCAATATACATACGTTTCAAATCTCATCAAAATTAATACTGTTTACTATATGATATTTATCTAATTATCACCAAATTTATACCAAGATCTTATCAATATATAAATGCATATACCAGAACTATCATGATTGGTTCAAAAATGAAACTTCTATCGGTCTACAAACTAAATTTCATGAATTGTTACTAAGTCAAGGGCAATAACTTTCATAACATTCAACCAATTACTACCAACTTTAATGAAATACACATATTTCCATTAAAAAAATGCCCTCCTATCTTTGAACCTGGCACTGATAATCATCTTACTACTACACAATAGTAAGGTCTCCAAAGTATTTAGATATACATGTAGTTAAAATCTTTCTCATGATTTATTTAAATTGGAGATATCACATCAACAGATTACTCCAATAAATAGGCGGAAAAGTGCAGAACTGTTTTCCATATCAATGATTGTAATTCTTATGATTATATTTCAACCATTTTATTTTCAGGCTGACTTACATTACAAATATGGAATTTACCAGAGATAGTTTTGATGCTCAAAATGATGTAGAACCGACCGCACTGCATGTTGCTGCTGAAAATGGCCAATGCGAGTTAATTAAAATACTGTTAAGAAAGGGTTCAATGGTAAATATCCAGAATTGTAAAGAACAGTCGGCGTTAGTGCTGTCTTTATTAGGTAGAAACGAAGAAATTTCTTTGTTATTAATCGACCACGGAGCGGATATAAATCAAGCAGATGGAAATGGCATGACACCATTAATGTATGCCATTCAAAAATGTCTTTCTAATATGGTTCAATTAATGATAAGAAAAGGGTGTGATTTAAACCTTCAAAATAAAAAAACAACAAACAGCTCTCCATTTAGCTGTAAACAATTTTGATGACAACGAAACTGTCAGGCTTTTACTAGATAGTGGTGCCGATGCTGACATCAAAGATTCAAACGGCCACACTCCACTGATTTTATCTATGAATGGAAAGGGGAAATATTTTAGTCTGGTAGCTGAAAAGACTACATGTTTCAATATTTCTGATGATAGTGGGATGACACCATTGATGTTTGCTGTTGAAAATAACCTAATATCAGAAATTGGAATAATTACAAGAAAAGATTGCAATCTAAATTTTCAAAACAAGAACAAGGACACGGCAGTACATTTAGCAGTAAAAAATGACAGACTTGATTGCCTTAAGACCCTTTCATCAACTGGTGCTGACTTAAATATACAAAATTACCGAGGAGAAACCCCACTGTTATTATCTATAGGTAAAAGATGGACCGACGGTATAATATTACTGATTGAAAGTGGAGTAGATTTAGAAATAGCCAACATCAAAGGAAATACTCCTCTAATGAGAGCAATTGAAAGAGATCTTTTGGATGTAGCTGAATTACTGATAAAGAAAGGGTGTAATCTGAACAGTAATCCTCCAGATATCCGTGTAGGTAAAGATTACCATTATTCAAACACCAACAAACAAACACCTATTCATCTTGCTGTCAGTCGTAAAGACGTTAATATTCTGATACCTCTAGTGAAGGGTGGTGCCGACTTAAATATACAAAATTCAGAGGGAAAGACGCCACTTCTAGTATCCATTCAAAGAGGTAATACAGAGGCCTTAATGATGCTAATTGAAAACGGGGCTGATATCAACCTCTCGGACTCAAACAAGACAACACCTTTAATGACGGCAATTCAATACAACAACATTGATGTTGCTATTTTACTGATAAAGAAGGGATGTGAGCTAGACACCCAGGATAATGATAAAGAAACTGCTCTTCATTTCGCTGTTCAGCTGAGTACACTGAGTTTAATCGATTTCTTGATAAAACACGGGGCCAATATCAACATAAAAGATAGAAATCACAATACACCGTTAATACTCTCTACAAAAAGACAAGAAGAGAAAATAGCGATGTTGTTAATGGACAATGGGGCTGATATCAACATAAAAGATAGATATGGCGACACACCTTTAATAATATCAATAAAAAATAGATATAAAAAAATAGCAATGATGTTAATAGACAATGGGGCCGATTTAAATGCAGTCGACCCCAATGGAGATTCATTATTAATATCTGCAATAAGAAATAACCTTGGTGATGTTGCATTGAACTTTATAAAACATGGTTATAGATCAGATTTATCCCCATGCCATGACTGTTATCCTGGAATATTATGCCACTTTTTGATGAAGGCCTACTTGGATTTTAACAAGAGACACCAGCGTTTTCTGGAACTATTGTTTCTTTCTGGTTCTTGCACACAATCTCGGTTATTTATGTTATTAAAAGATCCTCTATATTTCTCCCAATTTGAAAAGAATCCTGAAATATTGCACTGGATAGAATCTAAGAGTTGCAGTCCGATGTCGTTGAAGAATATTGCGAGGATTGCAATTTTAGCTCACATACAACCGAATAAAACAAAAAACATTGAAGAAACAGAACTTCCAATGACTTTACGTCACTTCCTTCAGTTTAATGATATCATTGACAATGGACCCATTCCTATGATTACCAGAAGGTATGTACAAGATTACGATGGCTATGCTAGATGGAGATGATGATGATGATGATGATATTGATCAGTTTTCTATCATTTATCATAACATTGTGATGCAAAGAATGCGATTGCTAATTTTAAATGACCATGCGACATATGTTGTTCAAACGAGTAGTATGAATTCTGACCTTTACCGTGACATTTGAATATGACAATGATACAATTGGAGTCCATGGTTCCGAAAATGGAGACTATTTTATAAAAAATAATGTCGATTTTAAAGTTACAGTTTTCTGAATCCTAAAATATTTTTTAAACGAATACTACCTCTTAGAATGGACATAAAATTAAGGGTCTAAAACTTGGTCAATAAGAGTATATATTCATCAGTTCGACTTACATAGAGTGGCACCTGGTAATACGCTATTTGACACAGTTTAAAACTTTCAATTGTTTGGTTATTCTAAGAGGTAGTATGATTTTAATGATCTTATTTCTGAGTGAAAGGGTCCCCAGGTGTCTTAATCACATCGCATTGATAGAAATTTGATTTAACGATTTACAACATATATAACTTATCATTTTTTGATTATTAATTTTAACTATTTGCAGTGAATGATCAGTTTATTTGGCGTCTTAACTGGAATAATGTTTTAAATGAATACTATACATGTATGTAGATTATTTTGGAAATCTTATATATCCTGTTATTTTTTGGGTTTTTAGATAATAATATAGGTATCGTTTCAAAGTCTTCCTCTCGTTTTCTAATAACTCATTTATCCTACCTTAACGACCTTATAGATACTTCATAGGATCTCCACTTTTATTTATTTAAACAAGTTTTATGTTGACAGACATTTCAATATTGCAATATATTTGAGAAATTGTCCACATTTTTCATTGGTTAGCATTTCTTCGTGGGACAATTATATAAGAATAGCTCTGGTACAGTCAATAACCTAATTTCGTGGAAACCTATTATTCGTGGATTTTCGGAAATGTTTGCGCGACCTCCGCATTAGTTTGTTTAATAAACGTGGGTTTTTTCTACAATGTCAGCTAGTAGAATGAATTCAGTAGTTTCAAGCAAAGTAAAATGTATTAATGTATACTTTGACAAATACAAAATGGCGGATTTCAGTATTTCCAAACGTCACCATTTTTTATCGGCCAATTTCCTTATAATCCCAAGCGGTAATCGGAATTCCAAGTGTCGTCTGCTACAATGTAGTCCAACGAATGAAGTCACGTGATCAACTAGCGGATTCCATGTCAGCAGAAAATTTCTATGGAACACAGAGTGGATCATATTCTTATGTTGTTTTAGTGACTTTTAGCAATAAATCACGCTACGTATCTTATTTTGTCAGTCACTATTTTATTTTAAAATCGTGGTTCTTTGAAGGAATTGTCACTAGTTATAATGAATTGATATTAAAGATAAATACTAAGAGAAGTTAATTATACCACCCGGTATCCATACAACGTGTTTTTCTAGACTCATTCATGAAGAAAATCGAAATAAACCAATTTTAATTATTTTGTAGAATATCTGAGGAAACATCCAAGACATAAATTTTTTTTTTCGTTTTTTTTAACTTTGACGCAATTCGGTGTTGAATCCTTATATCCACGAAAATAGGTTACACCACTGTACTATTCCGAATCTTTATTAGTCATACTATTGTAAACATTTTTAAAAAGCGACAACAACCACATGGATCTAATGGAGCTTGATGATTGTTCTTTATGGTGGTAAGGATACGATGGGTAATGTAAATTTTGAAAAGAGTTGGACTATTATTATTTACTGAGGAAATGGCCCATGCTTTTAAATCCAATTTGATCACAATAAAAAAAGTATT